TTTTTCTTCATCGACTTCAATAGTTTCTAAAATCCTATCCTGTAATAGCATCATGCGATTTATCATCGTAGTCAGCTTATTATTCGTTGTCGCTTCTCAAGTAAAATTTTTTAAATCGATAAAAATTGAAAATCTTATTCTTTTTTAACATAGGCGAATGGACAAGGTACTGAATTGTTAGCAGGTGTTTTCCAAAATCTTCTTGGTTCGGTTATGACACAATGGGGTAATATGTCCTCAGAAGAACAAGCTTCACTCTGGGATAAATTTAATCAACCAGGTTAAGAAAAAATTATACGTAGACTTTTACAACTATATTATTCTAGGAGGTTTAAATCATATTTGGAATGCTCTTGATTCTCACTGTAATAATCATTGGGATTGTGGACCAGAAGCATGTTGTCTTCAACCAACTGTTCAAGGAAAACGTGGTTTTACTGATGGACGTATGTTTGATTTATTTAAAAAATATATAGTTTTTAATACATACTTATTTTAGTTAATTTACATATGTCAAGTTATTGTTCACCATTAAAAAAACTTAGTCAAACATGTTCACTCCATCATAGTGGAGAAACCAAATCAACATTTAGTTGTCCATGTGAAAAAGACTGGAAATGTACTTCAGGTGGTTCATTTAATTTTCATCCCATGATCACCATCCATAAAAATTCAGTTTGCAAATAAGCTGATTAAGAAAAATCTTAACATATAATAATGAAATAAAATAAAAAGTGATCTACGATCGGTTTTATTCTCTTATTAAATATATAGAAAAACAAAAATCAATGACTCTCAAATAAGAAATATATAGTTATTCATTTGCTAATAACTAGGTCAGAATTTGATTATAGAAAAGTAAAGGAATGTATATAATGAGCCGAAGTTCGATATTCAAAAGAGTCTAATTAAAGAAAAACAACAACAAGTGTAATTGGATGATATAAAGAACGCTATTAAGAATAGTTTAGCCAAACGTTGAATATTCGAAAGAAAATATCTCGTATTTTTTCAATTATCTATTCAGTTATTTTCGTACGAAATTATTTTTTTTAATATTAATAATCTTGATCTGAATCAAATTCGAAATATTTTTCTAATAATTAATTTATATGTGCTAATTAACAAATATTTATTTCTAATCAATTTGTGAATCTTAAATGAAAATATTTCTTTTCTAATTTGTTATAACATTAAAAAGAGAATAATCTCTAATCGTTATTTTCTTTCATCTCGGCAAAATATTTCCTGTTATTTATGAAATAAGATAAATTTTTATCAGCAATTTATAATCTTTAATTGAATTGAACAATTGTCGATAGGTGGTCATTGAAAATGATTGGTAAAAAATAAAATAATCTATTTCGGTACATTTTGTTTTGAAAGAAAAATGGAAAAATTCCGATAGTTTGATTTGAAATTGATTTCTGGTTATTTTGACTAATGCATCGAAAGAAAAAAATACATCAATCTAATTTAAAAATTTTTTTTGTCATTGAAAGCAACGAAGCGAAACACGATGTGACATTAATGATATATCATGGCACTGTTCTTCTTCTTTTTTGCTCTTCTCTTTCTGCAGTTTAATTTTCGTGCCTCTCTTTCTCTTTTCTTCTATTCTTCTTCTTCTTCTTGTTCTTCTTCTGCCGCTAGTTATAGTTAAATGGCAGTTGCTCTTCCGAAAACGACCTCCACGTGAGAGAGAATGTGGTGGCAGAGAGAACACAGAACAGCAGTAGTCACAGTCCATTCTATCATATAACATCATCTAGATTCTTACACAACATAACGAACGAAACGAAATAGAAAATTGTGTCGTCATATATTTTTTTCTTTCCATCCATCATTATTGTCAAGTATGTTTTATTTAATAAATTCTTTTTTTTTTATATTTGAATTTCATTAATTTTTCATAGTGTGTGTGTATATCTATCTTTCGTTTTTCCATTGTTTTTTCGAAATGAAGTATGTGTGAGATACTATGGTGCTGCTCTCTTCAGCAGCCAAAAGATAAGACAAGACCATTTTATCAGTTAATAACTGCTGACTAACCTCTTGTGTCAACAAAAAAAAAGTTCCATATACAATTCTCGAATTTTAAAATAAAATTTTGTCAATTTCGATGATGATAATCTTTTATTATTCTTTAGAAGATAGAAAGACGAAGAAGAAGAATAATACATAGAAAGAGGTAATCTCCTTTTTTTTTCTCTGTTTACTCCATACATGTTCGTTCACAGACTAAATCTGAAAGTAAACATACGGAACGTTGTTTTCTGGAATTCGTGTCTCTCTTCGTCAGTATACATGATGTTCATGTTGAGGAAGAATAAGAAGGAATAATCCCTTTCTTCGTCTCTCTCTCTTTTTTTCGCTTCTTCTTCTCTGTAATATTAGGCTTCTTCCATAATCTCTGACCTTTTTTCGCAGCTCTCTTTCTCTCTCTACCTTTATTCGTTCGAGTTTTTCTTTTTGTGTGTCATCTTCCTTTTTCTCTATTTTATTCGCTTGCGCTTCCCAAAAACGTGTCTGCTATGAAAAATGTCAAGCTTTAGAAGACAATCGTATACTGTATCGTCGACAACGAAGATATAAAATCATTCAATAATGATAAAATCATATGGAAAAAAAGAAGAAGAGATGAATGATATGACACTATTTTCGTATGTATGTGTTATTGGATAAAGGGGAATTTTGTTTTTATCTGATATAACAGAAACACATCCTTCCGGTGGATTATTTTTTCCTCTAATCGATCATTGCATTTTGAAGATACCGGATGTTATTTTTTGTATTGTTGATGTCAATAAAATTGAATATTGATTTGTGACAAAATGATTTTTGAATAATCTTTATGATCATCTGATGATGATTCTCCGTCATCTTATTCTTCGTTTCGTGTTCGTATTTCTTTTTTCTTCTTTTTCTTTTTCTTCTTCTAATTGTCGATACAATATAACGACGAAATTCCGAGTCAGAGAGAAGTGTACACACACACACACATACATATCTACTCTGAACATTGGCTTTGCTTCCTCCTCCTCCTTCTATGATCAACCTCCTTATTTAAGCATAGTATCTTATTGTCAATCCTTTGAATGTGCAACAATTATTCCTACAATAAAAATTGTACCGTCAGTGTTCTTTTTTATCTCTTTTTGAATTTATTTACTGTTCCTTTTCTAATCGTAAACAATCAAATTATATATATATATATTTATAATGTGTGGCGGATATATCTCTTGAAAATTGATGACTGTTTTATACCTATTTCACCGCAGGGCATATTTATAGTTGTCATCACACGTATCTGTTTTTTATATCTACATTCTATTGGAGAGAATAGAAGGTGCTTATTTTCAATTCCACACGCACCAATCCCACCGTACATGTACACGCACATTTATCTTTTTTTTCTGCTCTTTTTCTCCTATTGCCGCCGATCAGCCTGAAGCATCATCGTGTTGCCGTTATATATATATATATATAAATATGTATATGTAGGCAGAAAAGAGACAAGGAAGAAAAATGGGAAAGAAGAATAATGGATAGGTGTCATCACGATTTGTGACGAATCGATTGATGCGCGATGTTTTTGCAGTCGAGCAGGTAAGTAAAAGTAGAGACAGAGAGAGAGAGAAAGAGATAGAGAGGGCGAAAGAGAGAAGACGAAGAGCCAACAACAACATAAGCATAATATAATGTTAGTGGCAGTTGATAAGAATGCATTCATCCGTGACGATTGAATATGATAGTGATTGGTAGAACTTTGTCTCAGTACCTCCTATTCTCTTCATATTACCGTTGCCGATGTCTGGTTGTCTGTCTGTCGTCTGAGTACATCGAAACAAAAAGGAAAAAAAAGATGAGATATTACAGTACAGTCAACGAAAAGAGACAGAACGAACAAACGAAATGAATGTCCACTACATCACCCGTTTGCTCCTTATTCTCATAATTATCTATCGGTGAACGCACATATATACATAGAACAGCAGCGCAGATTTCTCTTTCTCATCAAAATGGATTTTTTTGTCGTTCTTCTGATTTATATTTGATAGATTGTAAGGGAAGACAGAGACAGAGACAGAGACAAAGAGAGAGAGAAAGAGACAAAGATTGATGCTTTCTTTTTTTTCTATCATTTATTGTTTATCATTCTTCTTATTCATAAGATAGCATAAAAACGATAATGCTACCTACTGATGATGTTACAGTAGTAGTCGATACTTCTTCATTTGACAGGTAAGGTAAAACGTCGTTAGTGTTTGCTTTTCAAGCTTTTTTTAGAACACACACACAATAATAATAATAAGAAAATGAGAAGGATAATAATCCCATTTAATATTTTTTTTCCTTCATTCATTATCTTCTCATTTATATTAAACAGAAGGAGAACAATAAATAGATAAAGAAAGAACGATGTATGTAAACGTCAGCTGCCGCCAGCAGAAATCAGAAAAAGGTAAAAATCAAAGTCAACGATCCGTATCGGACCAACGTAGAGAAAGAGTTGGATTGTCGTCATTCGTAAATACGACTACTGCTTTTTTCCTTTCGTTGTATTTTTTTTCTTTGCGCCGTCTCTCATAATCGATTGGTTTAATCTGTAACAAAAATATACTTTCTATTTAATGGCATTACTTTTTTTTTGATTGGTTAAGTAGACCAATAAGAGAAAAATTATATCTTCTTCATTTTTGGTTCCACCCATATTCGAACGTGCTTTAAATGATTATATTTGATTTCCGGGTGAAAGTTTTTTTCTTCTGCTTCTTCTTCTTCTTTTATTTGTGTACATAAATTTTTCGTGTGTGCGTGATCTTTTCTTTTTCTATTAACTTTCATAGAAATCTATTTTTATTTTCTAGACAACGACATAAACATTACCACCATTTTGATACTAATAATAACAATCCAACAATGGATTATTTTTTCATCAATTCTGATGATATCAGGTAAAAAAAAATGACTAGCTTTTCGTTTTATTTTTTTTTTGTCTTTTACTTCATTCGATTCAACGATATTTACATGTCATGTCCAAAGGGATTAGTTCCATCCTATGTATACACAAGTCTCGGCATCGTTCATCATCAGTAGTAGTACCAGCACTAGGCGCTAATCCATCTATTTCATTTTGTGTATACATGAGAAAGATCTGGTGTCATTTGAAATTGAACTAACATAAAGTAATTAATCGTATGTAGGAGACTAATAGAAAAATACATTCGATTTTTTTTTCTTCCTCACACATATACACTCTCTCTCCCTCTGTTAAA